CCATCATCACTGTCATCATCATTACCTTCCCGTTGACTTGCTCGTTAGCTGGCCTGGTCAACATTAAATGGGGGATGATATGTAAGATCAAAAGGAATATTCATATGAGGCATCTAGATATCTTGCATAAGGCCGCCAGGGTTATATGCACTAAACATCTTCTGAAATATTTTGGATGCAACCACCTCCATTTCTTCCCGTATCTCTTGTCGGACCTCCTCCTTCAACTCTTCTCTTAGCTCCTCTCTCAGCTGCTGGAATTCTAAATCATTAGGGCATTTGTGCCCACCCCTCGTGACATCACTAATGGGGACCGGGATGATGAAGCCTTGCCTTATCACCTGCCATAAATCTTACTGGGCTTGGCACCAAAACCAAGGCTACGGACTCGACCAGGATGCTCGGGTTGATTTAGAGCCACCTCAAGGGAAGCCATTGCATCCATTGAGCCTTGTGACTCGCGATGTTCAGTCTGGTAATGCTTAATTTTACCCTGCCAAATTATATAAAATACATTAGTAGTTAAAATGTTGATTCAAAAATCATACATAATAATAAGAAAATGTAATCTAATACTTACAATAATGTTCTCAACATCTTACGAGCTGGGAGTGCCATCCTTATGCCTATGAGTTTCAATATACAGATCACCAAAATCACCCTGCCTCCCTTCCCTTCTAGCTCGTGCTTCCTACATAGCAACACAAATAAAAATTTTATAATTATAGTACAATAATTAATTATTCAAACAATATAAAATTATATTAACTATATTATGCACGCATTATCTCACTCATGGTCACAGTAAAAGTCTTCAATCCATTAGTATGAAGGATTGCCTGGCATGCCCGGCTCCTCCTGTTTCTTCAAGAAACTGCCTATATCTCTCATGCAAAATAACTAAAACAATTACTTGTAATTTCATACAAATTAATACAAAAATAAAAAATATACAGATTACCATCTGCTCAGGTGATCTCCTAAAGTATACAAATCTTGCCCAATCCTCAGTCGAGGCATTCTTCAGTACATCCCTCATCACTTCATCTATTGGTCTTGTCCCATCCGCATTTCTAGCAGTATACAGCCGCCCTCTCGTATTCTTCCACGCATCGCCCATATTTTGAAGGGCATAATTCTTATGGTCATCCATCACAGCAAATCTCTTCTGTACCATCAAAATACAAAAAAAATTTATATTTACTTTTAAATTAAATATAATATTTAAACATGACAAATAATACTTGCAGTCACATTATTTACCTTTACAATGTCAGTCCAAATCAAGTTCTTCCTGTTTGTTTCCATCTTATGCCAGTTCTCATAATATATGGGAAAATTAACATAATTGTGCCCAAATTCAGCAATGTATCTACTAAAAACAGTGCCACCAGCACCAAATGGTTGGTCCGTCCTTTCGTCCTACTCTACAAGTATTCGATGGTTTGGATCCAACACATACACTTGTCTTATGACCAATGTGGCTTAATATATATGTCCTTCAGGGTCTGTAAAGTTAAAGACCACAATTACATTAAATAATTAAATAATTAAATAATTATTAAAAAGGTAATAAATTTGACATACGCATAATCCAAATGTGAAATCCCCTCCCTGTGCAGTAGAATGACGAGGGATATTTTGTTCCCTCTCCACATCTTCATCAATAAAACTCTCCACTTGTCGTATCATCTCCGCATCAAAATTATTGAAACCTAAATTAATATCTATGCTCTACTCATCATCATCATGAGCTCAACCTCGACCTCGACGAGGCGGCTTTGAATATTTCATAGGTGCCTTTCCATGACGTCGAGACATAATTATAACTATATACTAAAAAAATACGGAATTACAATTTAAGTAATATCCAATTTAATCAATTAATTACATAATCCAAATTATTAAATAATTATGTAACAAATACATTTTTATAAATTTTATATGAATAATTATTATAAGTAAAAATCAATATGTAAAGTACAACAAACTCAAATTATTTATAAATAGTTAATGTTAAACAATTATTTAAATCAATATTGAAATAATGAAATTTTTATAAAATAAATATATAAATTATCACATTAACATATAAAAACAAATGTCTACAGTAATGAAAAAATAATAAATAAATTATAACAGTCACTAAAAAAGTTTATATGTTCAGTTCTTAAAATGCACGTAACAATCTTTATATATATAATAAATTAATTACAATTAATATTACATCAACAATTACTTTAACCAATTCAATTCGTATATTCACTACATTTATAATCTATAACTACACAAAAATAAAAACAAATTAATTATGCAGTGATAGTTAAAAATACAAAGATAAATAAATAAACATATTCAAATGCAAACAGATAATTTCTAAACAACAACATAAAATGCATTCTTAATTAAAAAAATTTTATATACAAATTTTAATTAGCTTATACTAAAAATACTAACCTGGAAAAAGATTTTCAGAGTGAGACTCCCCTTAAAACTTGTCAAGATAAGTACAAATGCAGTGAAAAAAAAAACTAAGCACATACAAATATATAAAGGGCCTCCAAGGGAGGCTCCCAAGGCAGAAACCACGGCTTTTGCCACGATTTCTGTCACGGTCTGTGAATTGCTATAGCATTTGCAGTGGTTCGCAGAAAAACCGCTACAAAAGCAGTTCGACAAAACCGCTTCTGTAGCGGTTCTGTCAAACCGTTGCAGATTTTGAAGATTTTGCAACGGTTTGTCAGAACCGCTGCACAAACTGCTGTAAAATCTCATATTTTGCAGCAGTTCTATTAGAGCCGCTACAAAATATGCGACTTAGAACCACTGTAAATTCGGACCCAATAATTTTCCTAGCAGTTTTTACCTCAAAATCGCTGTTAAATATCGCTGCAAATGTCCCCGCCATGTTGGCACCATTATTTTGTTGCAGTTTCATTATAATAGCGGCTAATGCACAATTAACCACTGCAAACTTAAATTTCTGAGTCAAACCGTTGTATATTTGTAGCGGTTTTCTTTAACCTTTGCAAATTCTTGGGTTAGTAGCGGTTATTTATAACCGTTGCAAAATAACCGCTACAAAACACTGCTTTTTTTGTAGTGTATCTCTTACTTGTTTAATGTCATTTGTTGTTTGCTTGGATTGAAGAACTTGTGTTGTGATTTTGATTGGTTGAATAACCTTGGTTTATGCTTTGGGCAAAAGCATTGAGTTGTGTTAATGTGGAAGTGTTGATGTTCCTCTCCTAGCATGAGACTAAGCATGATTTTATGTGACTTGAGGATGTTTTGAAGTTCTATAACATGTCACATTGTAACTAGCTTGATTTGCATGATAATTGTAATTCAAATGCTATTGAGATTTCATAAAAATCTCACTTCTCCTATGTTAAATTATGTCTCAAATAGGGAATGGCTCATCTATAGATCAAGGCAAGGAATTGGTGCTAGGATGAAATAGTACTGTGAATATTATATTGACTTGGACTATTATGTAATGTGTTGTCAAACTTTATGTTAAGTTTGTGATGAAGTATGAAGGATAACATGATGTAAATTAGATCCATATGACATGCCCTAATGCTGAAAATTTGAATGGTATAATGTCAAAAGGATGTAGAAAGAGGAAAAAGGGAAATAAATTCAAGAAAAGGGAGTTAGGGGATAAAAATACTCTAAAAGAGGCTAAACTTGTGACACATAAAATAATAAGGAATTTTTGAAATTTGGGCATAAAATTTTACAGGCTTATAGATCTCATTTTTAGCTTTAAAACAAGTGGTAAACCATTAAAATTAAAGTCTTGTGCTAAGAGTTATACCCTTCTAAAGTTGGGCTAAAATCTTAAAAATTTAAAAATTAACCATATAAATAGTGCATCTTGTTGAATTTTTTGGTGCTGTTCTGGATGGAATTGAGTCTAATGAATATTTTTCCTCTATAAAATTCTTAGCAAGCTTCGTGCGAAAATTAGAACCATCTCGTTTTGTTTTTTCTAGAATTAGTTATGAATTTTCAAAGTTGACCCAAGTTCGGATAAACAGTGTATGGACAGAATAAAGTGTGAAATTTTAGCTAATTTTTTTGATCTTCACAAATTAGTTATCTAACTTTTATATTAAGGATCAAACTAATAACTAATCCTGCGTCATACTTTCCCATAGGTTTTACGATTTTTATTTTTGAGAACCACGGTAAGCAAGCAATACATCTTAAAAATCCATTACGAATGACAAATATTTTTTTTTAGTAGGCTCCAAAAAGTACACCTTCAATCAAAATTTCGTTTAATTTTGCCGTATTGACTTTACAATGGATCTCTTACAAAAAATTGTATTGACCTCAGTATTCTCCATAAAATTTTACTTACTTTTACCGTATAATTTTTGAATAATTATTTACATACAAAAATAATGACAAATCTTAATATTAAATAACTAAGCTAGACTAAGGGTTTAAAAAAGTTATTTAATGAAATGATGAAAATAAATCACACCCACAATTAACGCTAGTGAAGGTTATCACGCTTTTCATTTTCTTTTTTATCAATTGAGCTATCAAGTTTAAGGCCTGTTTTAGAGTTTTTGCGCGTATGGTTTCAGTGAACTAAATAATGTCTATAAAATTAAATTTAATGATTAAGTGACCAAGTCCTCTGTCAAAGCCTAAAGATTAATGTCTGCGTAGTTTGCGCCATAACAGTTTTCTAAAATTAGATTCGTGGTTCAAGTTGAGAGTGATTTACGTCTTTGAAACTTGCTGTTAAGTTTGGAAAAAAATTGCTATCTTTTACTAAAACAAACTTATTATATATACGCTAGGCCAAATGCGAATTGTCAGAACATCAGGAAGATTTAATCTCCTTCCACATTACAAAAAGGCAAAAGGGTAGGAGCAATACAAGTACATCATTCTAATATCGGAAGAAAGTGATTCGAAGCATATTAGAGAAAAAAGGGTAACTGCTTTCTCCAGAGGTTATCACGAACCAAGAAACAATGGCCTGTGGGATGATCATTTTTGTGTTCCTGGTTTGCCTTTTGGCTGGAGCTTTCTCAGTGGTTAAAGGTGAAGACCCTTACGTGTTCTATACATGGGATGTCACCTATGGCACCCTCTCGCCTCTGGGAGTTCCCCAACAAGTTATTCTCATCAATGGCAAATTCCCTGGACCTCTCGTCAATGGTTCATCCAATAACAATTTCGTCATCAATGTCTTCAACAAGCTTGAGGAGCCAATTCTTTTCACCTTCCAAGGCGTCCAACACAGGAAGAATTCGTGGCAAGATGGTACACCAGGAGCCCAATGTCCTATCCCTCCTGGAACAAACTTCACTTACCACTTCCAGATTAAGGACCAGATCGGAACTTTCTTCTACTTCCCCACCACAGCTTTACACCGAGCCGCCGGCGGTTTCGGCCCGATTCGCGTGTTCAGCCGTTTGTTGATCCCTGTTCCTTACCCAGATCCAGAAGATGAGTTTGATTTTCTAATTGGTGATTGGCACACAAAGAGCCATGCAACTCTTAGAAAGTTCTTGGACAGTGGCCGATCTATTGGAAGACCAGATGGGGTTCTCATCAATGGCAAATCAGCGAAAGGAGATGGCAAAGACGAACCACTCTTCACAATCAAGCCTGGAAAGACCTATAAGTATAGAGTTTGCAATGTAGGGATTAAGAATTCGCTCAACTTCAGAGTCCAAAACCATCCCATGAAGCTTGTGGAAATGGAAGGATCTCACACTGTTCAAAACATGTACGATTCACTTGATGTCCATGTTGGGCAGTGCCTTACAGTACTCGTCACTGCCGATAAAGAACCTAAAGACTATTACGTCGTGGCTTCCACAAGATTCTCTAAAACTGTCGTTGTTGGTAAAGGCATTATTCGCTATGAAAATGGAAAAGGCCCAGCTTCACCTGACCTACCTGAAGCACCAGTGGGTTGGGCTTGGTCTCTTAACCAGTTTCGCTCTTTCCGTTGGAACCTTACGGCTAGCGCAGCCAGACCTAACCCACAAGGTTCTTACAAATATGGTCAGATTCCTATTGCTCGCACAGTTAGGTTGGTTCATTCAGTTAGTAGGGGACAGGGGAAGCTTCGTTACGCGATAAACGGTGTGTCTCATGTTGATCCTGAGACACCCATGAAGCTTGCAGAATACTATGGAATTGTTGATAAGGTGTTCAAATATAACACTATGCCTGATCAGCCACCAGCCAGTTTGGAAAATGTGGTTGAGGGGCCTAATGTGTTGAACATCACATTCCGTGAGTTTGTTGAGATCATTATCGAGAATCATGAGAAGAGCGTCCAATCATATAACCTGGATGGTTATTCCTTCTTTGCTGTCGCGTTAGTGTTTCGTTAAACCCTTCGTATGCATTAGTGATGTTATCATCCCTTGTACCACATGACGAATTTTTTGTTTTTCTCTTGTTGGATTTTGCAGGATTGAGCCTGGAAAGTGGAGCGCAGATAAGAGGAAGAACTATAACCTTCTGGATGCTTTGAGTAGGCACACTGTTCAAGTGTTCCCCAAATCTTGGGCGGCTATATTGTTGACATTCGACAACGCAGGAATGTGGAATTTCAGGTCGGAGATTGCTGAGAATCGCTACCTGGGACAACAGCTCTACATCAGCAATTTGTCGGAAAACAAATCTTTGAGAGATGAGTACAACCTTCCAGATTTCGTGTTGAAATGTGGCATCGTAAAGGATATGCCAGTGCCTCCGCCTGTATACACCTAAGTTATACGTTAATTGCTTCTCTCTTTTCTTTCCTTTTCTTTTTTTGGTTGTCTTTCTAGTTATATTGCGTTTATGTGAAAGAAACTTTTGATATGGAAGTTCAGTAGAGTGTTGTAATAATTTGATAATTTGAGTTTGGAATAATCCTATTTTTGATCTGTATGATCAAACCACTTTTATTAATGTAGCTATATATTTTTGCCCCATATGCATGTCAGTTTTTTCTTATTTTATGCTTCTTACCGACGTGATCTATCAATTAGACAATTTGTAAACAGATTTGCATTTGCATATAATAGCATGTTAAATTTAAATTAATTTAACTAAAAATGGGAATAAAATCGACTTAGAAAATAAAGATCCAAGTGATCAGTAAAATTAAACTGAAACTTTTTTTTTTCTTTTAACTAAAATGATCAAATATATTAACAAAATGCTAGTTCAACATAAAAGGACCGCAGAAATAATATAGAACACATAATATGATTTCACAAAATAGACGCCAGCTAAGAGTACACAGGTTGACCCTGGAGACTTCAAACTCAAATACTATAGACACTCTAATTAACTATCAAATTAGAAGGATACAACAACCTGTATGACCAGCAACAAAATTAGTATTACGGGCGACCAAAAGTTAATAATAAACCAAATTTAACTTGTCGCGTTGGTGGTAATAGTAATAGTGATAATTGAGTCTCAGGCCAAAAAAATTGTATTGCAAGCATCACTACAGATTGAGTCTCACCTAACAATCTAGAGAGGAGGTTTTCCGAGGGGAAAAGCTACCCTACGCTAATTTTACCCGTTGGCAGTCTTTTGTAATATATTTTGTTACGATAAGTAAAGATTATGGTGCCCTTTATCATTGGGGCAAACTATTTATCCTCCCTTTTTTTTTCAGAAAACAAAGATGCATGATTATCCTTAGCTAGTGGACGCATATGCATATAAATGTTTATCTTATAGTATGGCCACTCCGCTGCGCAAATACTATATGTTGTGACTATTAAGATTCTTTAGTTTTGAATGTGCTCAATTCAAACTCCGCAATGAATAATGCCATTACATTCCTCTTTATTTCTTTGTAACATATTAGGGTTAGCTTCAATGGTTGGAAGCCTAAAAATAAAGGTCATATATAAAGAATTGGTACTCATAAGTGAATGAGAAATTTTCCCTTACTTTCTCTCTCAATTTCTTATCTTGCTATTCTCTTTTCTACACTCTAATTTCTAAGTTTGATAACATGTTGTCAATATGATTTTGGTCTGAAAATTTGATGTATATAAGCTCTTTAATTTGTAGGATAATGCGTTCATGTGGTATATAGTGGTGCCTTATATTAGCTTCCTTCACTCAATTATCTTCTTACACAATTATCATTTGTAATTTTAATTTTATACATTTGCTACATATTATGTTGTTGTTTTATATTATTTTACTGTTATTCTCTATACATTTTAATTTTGTTATTACATTATATATTTATGTGTTATCTTTTATTTTACATTATATGTATTTATGTGAAATGTTACGTTGTTTTATAATTGATATAATTTATGTATCATTTTCATTTGGTATTTATGTTGTATTTTTTTTTGTTTTATTTATGTTATCATTTAAGGTTACTAACTCATATTTATGTGTCATATAAATATATATATTATACTGTTTATGTTTTTCCTTTCTTTCATTGCATGTGTTAGTTGGTATGTATTTATGTTATTTATATAATTTATTTATAGAAAAAACTTATATCAATTATGTCATGTAAGAAAATGGGCCAGTCCACCCTTGGGGGATTGGACCCAAGCCCATTTATCATTAGGGGTCCTGGTGTAAATTATAAAATATATGGGTCCTTACTTGTAATTTTAGCCGTTTTACATAATATGCAAAAAGGAGGGAACGGTTGCAGGTGGGAGGAGACGGTTTTTTATTTGAAAAAAGGGGGAGTTAAAAAACGGTTTTTTCCAGAGAAAAAGGGCCATAACGTGGAATCCTTTTTTCGTGCTCCAGACTCCCTTTCTCCTCTCTTAGTTCACTCTTCCTCATCTTCCCTTACTTCAGTGTATTTGCTGTGTTTCCCAAATCCGACTCCGTCACCGTGATGGGATCTCCGCGTGGCAACCTGACTTTATTGCAGACTCCAGGTATGCCCGAAAACCTTCATTGGTATCAGAGCCCAGGTTTATATTTTTTCTTTTCTTCTTCCGCTGCCCGAGTTCTTCTGCGTATTCGTTTTTACGGTTTGGCATTTCAGTACACCTTAAGTGATTTGCTTCAATATATTATGCAAATCCTCTATTTTACTTCCAATATGATAGTTTTTGTGTCTTATATTTATGTTTAGACATATTGGATTGCTTCTCTGCCTCTGTGAAAATCGTTTTATACAGTATATTTTTTTGGCCGTACGCTTGTTCGTTTTTGGGTTGCTTAAAATCATGTTTTTAGGCTTCAAAATTTATCCCATTGCGTAGAGCTCGAAAAAACGAAGAAAATGACATAAAGTACACTAAAAACGGACACCGGACGGCGGAGATACGGAGGAGAGAAGAAATCGGGACGGGTCCGTCGACCCGACCCGGTTGCAGAAGCCGGGTCAAGTCGACCCGGCTGGAGGTTGAAGATAACCTCCAGGGCCAAAACGGCGTCGTTTTGGCCCTCCTTAAAAAAAAAAAAAAACCGCCCCAAAAAAAAAAAAAAAGTTTTTTTTGGTTGGGGGCAGACATGGGCCGAGTCCAAACAGCAAAAAAAAAAAACCATTTTAGTGCCCAAAAAAAAAAATGGAGCAGAACTGCCACGTGGCGCGTGCCGCCACGTGGCGTGCCATCTGGACACGTAGGGCCCACCATCTGACAGGTCGTGGCGCGTGGACGCCGCCGGTTCGGCGCGTGTCACCGGCGGCGAGCTGCAGGGAGGCGCGTGTATTACACGCGCCGACTATGCGAGTGGGAAAATTTTTTTCCCAGTTTTTCGCTAATTTTTCCTTCTAGGGGCGCGTGTAGGCGCGTGGAGGGTCCGTTTGAGGTGCGGTTTGTCTCTAAAAATCCCTTAAATCAAGATCTTCATTTTGATATATAATTTGATAATTTTGGAGACAATTAAGGGTCTATTTGTGAGTATTTTCAGTGTATTTTTGGTATTTTCATGCGGAAATAATTCCAGAATATTCAAAATAATTTATATTATTTTGTTCTAGGTGAAAATGGAGCAAGAGGCTTCTAGTAGCACTGAAAATACCGATCATGGTTCATTGGAATATTCATTCTTAGGTGATGGAATTCCAGAATATGAACCTGAGGATGAGGATCCTGAGGAGGACCCTGAAGAGGTTCCTCAAGAAGACCCAGAGGAGTTAGTGGATTCCGGACCTGAGTCGGAAACTATGTTCCCCACTGAACCCCTCCCTATCGCACCTCAATTAGTCATAAAGATTCACTAGATCTCCCTAATGAAATTGAAGTTGAGGAAGGAGAAGAGGTGAACCAACCTTTGACCCCGCGTTAGCTATGAGTATAGCTGAGACAGATGCAGCAAAACTGACAAATATAAAAGGAATCAATGGTGTGCTCGCTAGCTACGTCCATTACATGACCGATAAGAAGAATACAGAATTCTACCTAAGAGTCATAATGGAGTACATAAGAGCAATAAGAGTTAGAGGCGGACCTAAAGGCAAACCCATAAGAAAGTCTTACTGGATTTGGGCCATAGAGCTAGTGTCCTCTTTTATGAACAAAACGCGCAAACTTAGAAGCCTAAGAAAAGCAATGCTTGATTACATTTATGTTCATATCAAATGATGTAATATTTGTATTCGCCTTGAATTTGTGATTTCATGCATTGTAAACAGACTAAGTATGTTATTTCATTTATTGAAATTACTTGAATTATTGTTGTATGATTATTTGTGAATATCATGTGTATGCCTTTTATAAGTGGGAGCTTTTAGAAGATAAGACTTCTAAAGGTTACATTTTTTTTTAAAGTGCTTATATAAAATCCTTGATAGGACATGATGGTTGTTGCTAGTATCTGTGTGATGGGAGGTACAAACGTATTCTCCTGATCATGGATCTAGTAATTTCATTATTTACTGATTAAGGATAATATAGGCACATTACATTGTATACTTCATTGTGCTATATAACTGAAATGTTCTTTGGTTCGGTTCTCTTTAAAGAGAACATAGATTAATGTGGGATAGATTTGTCACAGAACTAAGAATGGCAACCAAGAACATAATTGCTGAATTGAACAAGGGAGAAAAGCTTAACGGGGACAACTAGGACATCTGGCACCGAAAGGTCCAGTATATCCTAGAAGAACAGGATGCGATAGAGCCTCTCACCACTGCTATGGTTGAACCTGAAGCTGGCAACACGGCCCAGCACAGGAGAGACCAAGAGGCATATCTAACCTGGAAAAAGAAGAATAGCATAGCAAGAATCACACTTTTGAGCTCCATGGCTGACGACCTGATGTGCGAGTTTGAGTCGTATAAAACTGCACAGGCCATGTGGATAGCATTAAAGGATAAGTTTGGCGGTGTCTCTACGACCAAGCTTAGGAGGTTGACGATTAAGTTCGATACCTATAAGCTCAAGCCAAACAATCCTATGAAGCAACATCTGAGAGAGATGGCCAATATGATCCGGGAACTGAAGGAAGCTGGACATAATCTGTCTGATGAACAGCAAGTGCAGGCTGTCATCAGGTCACTCCCTGCAAGTTGGGAGCACATGAAAGTCAACCTAACCCACAATGAAAACATCATCACTTTTAATGATGTAGCTAAGCATCTGGAGCTGGAAGATGAACGTCTAGAGGCTTACAAGAGCTCTGGACAAACTTATTTAGCTGAGGATGCTGGTACTTCCCAATCTAAGCCCAATTTCAAAAAGGGCAAGAAGCCCCAAAAGAAAGGGAAGAAGGGCGGTCCTCAATTCAAAAAGGGCAAGAAACAATTTAAGAAGAAGGGAAAGAAAGGC